TTCTTCTTTTTTTTTTTTTTTTTTTTTTTTTTTACAGTGAGCATTTATCATACAAACCGGGAAACGGGCCCGGCGTCCCTCACATATGTACGGGCAGCTCCTGATTATGAGCGAGGCATCACCGGCCGAGCCCATATCAGAAGTCGCGAAGTTCCCAAAAAAGAGAGAGGGGAAGAGGACAACTGTCAAGTGCAGTATCCGAAAAAGGAAAAGGGGCGCCGATTATATTCTGACTGCAGTAAACGGGGAAAAGCACGTTTCCAGGGTAGATTCACTCTTTCTTGTGAATTACCTAGAGTAGTTTCACCACTTTTCTGGGGATTTACCCCACGGGATTTCGTAAACTTGTTCAAGTCAATGGGCTTGAAGGTGCTCGAGTTTATGTCTAAAAATACATGGGATTTTGCCGAATCATGAAGGAGCTCGCTTTAGTCACGATGTCTCTCACGCACAGGGCTTGTCAATTTCCAATGCAGCAAGTATGCGTTTGGGTATCAGAACTGTTGGGCTATTGAACGTCTTACAGAGTGTTCGCCAAATACCGGGGTTAACGACTTTTTCTTCGAGTCTCTTTGGATTTTAGAATGGCGAAGGACCGTGGTACTACGGGCGGCGACCAGACCAAGAACCTCAGCAAGCTCACGTCGACACATCTTCCAGACTCTTCAGTATGAAAGGAGGGCAGCTATCATGCGTTACTTTCGAAGTATAAGCAGTCCTCGTATGTTGTCATATCCTACTTGGTCATACTAGTGGCCACACTATTTCTGTTTTAGGTCGCAATCCTAGGCTGGATTCAATATTCTTGCTATGATTGAGATTCGAGAGTGCTTCGATAACTCCAAGGCTTCCTGAAGAGATGATCTGACTACATATACTCTGTGTTCCTTCGGCTCTTATGTTAGCTATTTAGACTGTCAGGGGGTGGGTACCTGACCATTCGTGCAGGCCATGTTAAGAGGAAGATTGGTATGATTTATAATATCTAGCGATATCCTAGTGCCACCTCAATGTATGTAGTGCTTTGAATCTACAAGCACGCCGAAAATATGGGATTATCTGTTGTGATTTTGAAAGCTGGCCCCTAAGTACTAGAGCTTGTGGGTTTGCATGCATGTAGCTACAACTTTAGGGTTGATTTATAATCAAGGTTAATTTGAGAGTTTCCTTTCTTGGCCTCTTAGGATTTCGCTAACTGAAGTAAATACCTGGAATTGAGATTTGTTGCAGAGATTGTTACTTAGGATTACATTGTCATTTGGCTAGCATGCATGTTGGTGCAATCTAGGGCTGGACTGCTTAGGCCAGATTTCGCGTATATAGCTTTACTTCGTAACGAATGACATCCATTTTGACATTAGGGTCGGGATAGGCCCGAAGGCAGTGATGAGAGTAGAAGCGTTTCATCTTGCTAGAAAGAAGGGCTACAGGTTGTTGAGTGGAATTTAAAGTCTAACTATAGGACTAATATCGGCTGAAGGATAAGTGGTTATTGTTACATCTTAGTCCAGCCCCCTTTTACTGCGCTTCAAGGCATTTTTTGAGGAGTTATTCTCGGTAGAAGTTAAGTGGTCCTGGGACGCTGGACCCGGTTTCCAGCAGAATATCTTTTGGTTACACCGGGTAGAATTGTGAGGTCCCCGGCCTCGACCATTTTTCGTAATATGAAGCAACAACTTCTCAAAAAAAAAAAAAAAAAAAAAAAAAAAAAAAAAAAAAAAAAAAAAAAAAAAAAAAAAAAAAAAAAAAAAAAAAAAAAAAAAAAAAAAAAAAAAAAAAAAAAAAAAAAAAACATATATATATACCGGGCAGTTCTGTTTGTGACGATATATATATATATATCAAAGAACCGACTTTCGAATTTCCCGAGATCATACAAGCGAGAAAAGAGTACAGAACCCAGAAGCGAACCCAAAA